ACCCACGTGCACACATGCTTATTAATTATAAGATAGTTTTAAAATAAACTTTTCTCTTTCTTGGACAGAAAAGTATAGGCATACCTGTATGCTGATATATATGTATGCATGTATTAACACATTCTTTCATTTGTTTTCCTTTGATTTAAGACCAACTATTAACAAATAGGAGCTTGGAGTATAGCTCGTGGTAGAGCACTTGTTTAGCACATGCAAGGCCCTAGGTTCCAATCCTCACACCAAAAATCAAACAAGGCCAATTGTTTTAGGAAAAAACCCAATATTAAAAAATTAATATATGGCTAATTGTGGGACCTAGTTATTTTTATTTTTTTAAATATATTTTTTAGTTGTAGTTGGACAGGATGCTTTTATTTTATTTATTTTTATGTGGTGCTGAAGATTGAACCCAGGGCCTCCCACCTGCTAGGCCACTGCTCTACCATTGAACCACAACCCCAGCCCCGGTGGGACTTAGTTTATGCTGCCGCCATACATATTCCCATGGTTCCATATCTTCTGTGCAGCCTGTTGGCAGATGGAACACAAACCCTCCAGCCGTTCTCCAACATCCTAGAAGTGAAAAAAAGAATTTAAGAATATACATTCTAGTGCTCTTCATTATAGTGTTGGCTTAGCTAGTGCTGTTGTCTTTATTTAATGCAGTAATTCTAATCAGTGCACTCAGTGGGAATGTCCACTTCATATTACCTGATAAATACCTGAACAGAGGCAGACACAGAAGTTAAGACCCAGACTGGACTTTTTCTCAAATGCCACAACCTAGCATCTCAAACACAAATTTTGGAAGCTTCTAGAAATTTGCAATTACATTCTTCACTTCTTTCCCACCCTTGCCATCAACAAAAAAGGTTCATGAGATTCAGTCTGTGAGATGTAAGCTTTTAACAAGCTACATCTTGAGGAAGGAATCCTTTTATTATAAATGATGTTTAATTAACCTCACACAACCTTGGTAAATGGCTTATAGTCTTAAATTCAAGTTTTAGAAACATGATACTTAGGAAATTATATTTAGATAAAGATTCCATTTATCATGTAGGATTATGTACTATTGAAAACATAGTAGGCAAAATCAAAGACAGATGCTTCTCATTTGAAATAATCTAATATCCAAAGCTTTGAGTTAAAAATTTTATAATCAATAATTTTGATTTTAAAAGGAAATGCCAGTAGATTCTTCAGAGTTCTAGCAACAAAACTATCAATGTGACTTAATTTATCATATTTTCATTTAAATAGTTAAAACTCAAAATATGAAATTAGAAATGACTTAAAATTAACACTAAATTGAATTTAAATTATTCTAATGGGGGCAGTAAATTTTTTTGCAATATGTTTGTAAAACTTTCACTATATAAATAGTGATGTTACTTATCATAAAAGAATTAATTAATTAATTATCTAAAATTGGACTTCTGAACTTTAAGATGGAAAAACAACTAGTGTAAAAACCTTAACACTGAGGGGATCATATGTAGAAATAGATTTCAAAATACCACAATATTTTAGACCTTCAATGTAACTTTGTGATTACTGTAGTCATAATTTGTTGGGGTTTTAAAAAGAATACAACAGCTTTATTGAAATAAAATTGACTTCTGTGGGAGACCACAATAAGACACCCTTAATATGACTGTAGGAGACCAGAATATTGAAAAGTTAAATTCACCGATTTTTTAAAATATATTCCGAGTTGTGCAACCATCATCACTAACTGAATTTTAAAATATTTCATACCTCAAAGAGAAACTCCATGCCATTACCAGTCATTCTTCATTCACCCTCTTCCAGTCCCTGGCAACCACTGATCTGTTTTCTATCTCTATGGATTTGCCTGTTCTGGACACTTATATAATGGGATCATATGTGGCTTTTTATGACTGGCTTTTTTCACTTGGCATAATGTTCTTGTTTTAAAATTCACTTTCTCATACTTCTGGAAGCTAGAATTTGAGATCAAGGTGCTAGCAGATTTCGTTTCTCCCAAGAGACCTCTCTGTGTGACCTCACTATGACCTCACATGGCCCTTTTGCTATGTGCTCCAGCACAGTCTTTTAAGTTTCATCTATGTTGAAGTAAATATCAGTACTTAATTCCTTTTTATTATCAAGCCACATTCCACCATAGGATATACCATATTTTTCCATTCACCAGTTGATAGACATTTGTGTCATTTCCATTTTGTGACTTTTACATATAATAGTACTTTTAGCATCTCTGTATACATTTTTATGTGGACATATGTTCTCAGTTCTCTTGGGTAATTGTTGAATACTGTGTTTAGCCTATGATTAACTATGTTTAACCATTTGAGGGACTGCTAAACCATTTTCCAATATGGCTACACTGTTTTAAAATCCTACTAGGAATGTATGAGGGATCTAATTTCTTTACATCCTCACCAACACTTGTTATTATCTGTATTTCATATTCAGGCTATTCTAAGAGGCATGATGTGCTATGTCATTGTGCTTTTTATTTTAATTTGCCTAATAATGATATTCTTCATCATTTCGTGTGCTTATTGGTCATTTATATATCTTCTTTGGGAAAATGTCTATTCAGATCCTTTGTCAATTTTTTCAATTGAGTTACTTGTCTTTTTATTAACCATAAGTATTTTTAACATGTGATTTCTAACTTGTACATTGTTATCAATGACTTATGGTCTCAGAATCAGAATTTTTAGGCTGGAAGGGATTATACAAATCAAAGTCTAACCTCCTCCTTGACAGTTGGATCTTAGGCTTAGAGAGGCTTGCCCATGGCCTCAATAGACCTACTCTGCCACAGAGCTGGGGAGATTAATGACTCTAAATTAAAAATAGAAAAACAGATGTTTCATGATCTATACAGCTGTGCATTGCTTATTGACCTGGTTACTTTCTGAGAAATGCATTTTAGGCAAATTCTTTGTTTTGTGAACATAATAGAGTGTACTTAGACAAACTAAGACTGCTGTGATGTCAACAGGCTTATAGGACCATTTTGGATATGTGTTTCATCTTTGATCAAAACATGGTTATTGTCTTTGACTAATAAAGCACTTTTTAAATACAGACTAACCCTTTGATTTCAATACACTAAGAGCTTGGGCCAGTGTCTAGTTGGAAGAGGAGCTATGGGACTTGTCTTGAGGTTGCATACAGTTAGCAAGAACACTTTTTATTTAGAGCAATAAAAATAGTAGTTCTCTAAAGATACTTTTAGTCTCATAAGAATCTTCCTTAAGTTTTAAAAGTGACAGTGAAGCTGTCTGGCTCATAATGACCTCTGCTGGGCATATGTTCCTTTAAAATCCATCATGGTAGCTTTTAAGAATTTTGAAGAGGGCTGAAGTTGTGGCTTAGTGGTAGAGTGCTTGCCTAGCATGCACAAGGCACCGGGTTTGATCCTCAGCACCACAGAAATGCAAAATAAAGATATTGGGGAAAAAAAGAATTTTGAAGAAAGAAAATAATTTGGGCTTTGGATTTGGTTACAAAATAAAGCCATATTTTGCTTGGAAATATACTCTTCCCATGGAAGTCAACATTCCATTTTGCCTAATGACAGGAAGATGGGGAATGGAGGGTAGCTTTCTACCTGATATGTGGCATGTGGGGAAAGATAAATGGGATTGTTGTTGGAATCATAAAGTTCTATTGTTCCTACAACAAAAGAATATTCATATAAGATCAATATAAAGTGTCAGTGTTCAAATAAGGACACATTTACACAGTGGTTTCTTACTGCTACTTGCTCATACTTCTTGAACTATGGATTTTTCTAATAAAGAAACATTCATAAAGTCCATTTTCATGGTCTGTATGGAGTGTTTTCATTTTATTTAGATAATAATTTTCATATCAAGAAAATTTATATAAATAATCCATATGCCCCTCATGATCATATTGTAGTTGACTTTACCAAAAAGGGATGGAATCATTCACTGAGGAAATTATTCTAAATCTGATTTTTAGGCTCCCATGGCAAACAGTGGAAAGTTTGATACACACCCAACCTTTACAGTGGGGGAATCATTGTTATATTACAGCACTCCATCCTCAAAACTGAAATACCCTGTAGATTTATTATCTAAATGGGCTATCTAAATGCATTTATTATCTAAGTGTGACTCTGGGCTACTGAGAAGAAGAGTAAGCCAAGTTGCCCATGTGTATAAATATGTATATGTTTATGAATATGTGCCTATTTATATTTATATTTACATATATCACTCATAAGATATAAAAAGTGACATGAAGTAGATGCTTAAAAATGTTTGCTGAATGGCTAAGCTCGGTAGCACACACCTGTAATCCTAGAAGCTTGGGAGGCTGAGTCAGAAGGATCGAGAGTTCAAGGCTAGTAGGCTAGTCTCAGCAATAACAAAATGCTAAGCAACTCAGTGAGACCCTGTCTCTAAATAAAATACAAAATAGAGCTGGGGATGTGGCCTCAGTGGTCGAGTGAGTTCAATCGAGTTCAATCCCCAGTACCAAAAAAAAAAAAAAAAAAATTTTTAGCTGAATCTTCATTACTCAGTGGGCATATGGATATTAAACTGACTCAAAAAAATGTTTTAAGGCTTAATAATGTGATTTCAAAGCATTCAAGGAATTTCACTTTCCTTTTCCCCTACTGGTTTTCCTGTTAAGCTATAGTCTTGGTATTTCCATTAATTTTTATGAGACCTTAGTTTCCTATTAACTGAAGAAAGGAGATTTACTAGAAGTGTCCAGTTACTTGAAAGTATAGTTTCCTTATACCTTTCCTTTGTTTTAATTAGCATTTATCTAGCTTCCTCATTCTAAGTGAAAAATTAATTTATATTAGTGGAGACAAATGTAATAGAGAAATCACTTTCTTGGCATTTCCCCAGGTAAACTTTCTAATAACCCTCTTTTTGCTGCCTAGTATCTTCTAATTCCTTGGTCTGGGTGTCTCTGAGTAGAAAGATGGCACAAGGAATACAAAAAGGAGCTTGCAGAGAGCATGTTCTTCGAAGGGTCTTCTTAGTACAACACTTCACAGGGCTGGTTTGGCATGGCTGTTTGAAGTTACAGGTTCTCTCTAACGAGAGAAGTACTGGTGTTCTAAGTTGCTGATAAAGAAAAAGTCATAGGATTTAGAAACCAAAATATCAGGTACTCATAGCATGAAAATGGAGGCTTCTCCCGCCATGGCCTCTCTGGATGGGAAAACGAATCACTCCACCTAGACCACAAAGGTAACTATATAAGTAATGCCAGAATTTTCCTCAGGAAGCTTTGTTGGATCTTTTCCAGAGTAGGAACAATTGTTCAATTAAGTCCCCAGAATTCCATGCCATAGGGAAAGGCAGAAACTATTCTAGCCTAGAAATTTTTCAGGGAAGGTGTTCTTAATTGCTGGATGTGGCTTTAGAAAAGTCTCCTGTTGACAAGAATCACTGATTTTCAACTACTTTGCCTAGACTCATAAAGATGAGTAAAGTACAAAATGTGTCCCTTGGTATGTGAACGGACTGAATCGTTTTATGGGGTTATTTAATCAACCAATCAGATGTATGTGAATCTGATTTCAA